TTGGCGAGGAGTCCGCGAGCCGGGAGGGGAGGGGGGCGGCCGAGGGAGCGGGCGGAGGAGGAAGTGTCATGGCGTCGGGCCGTGGAGCTTCTTCTCGCTGGTTCTTTACTCGGGAACAGCTGGAGAACACGCCGAGCCGCCGCTGCGGAGTGGAGGCGGACATAGAGCTGTCGTACCGCCAGCAGGCGGCTAACCTTATCCAGGAGATGGGACAGCGTCTCAATGTGTATCCTTTCCTGTGCCTGGCCCTCCACTGCTCACGCCCGGTCCCCACTCCGGCCACCATAAGGCCACCAGACACAAAGAATTTCACAGGGCACACTTCACATTTCACAGATCAAAGCAAATCTGAACTTTCTAAATGCATATTCATGTGAGCTTAAGAATGTATAGGTGTTTTGGAAAGAAGGTGAACCAAAAGGTATCACCTATGAAATGCTACATTTGATTCACAGGCCAATTAGAAATGGCAAAGAATGGACAATATATAAGTATAATAATACACCTAAAAGATTAAGAAGACTTGACACCGGGGTCCCTCGGCTCCCGGCGTGGTTTGGTGCGAGCGCGCGCGTTTCGACGGTTTGACGTCGAGTTTGGTCGTAGCTGGTGATGAGTCCCTTCTGGGCTCGTCTGTTTATTTCCTTCCTGCTTCTAGTTGGGGTTTGGGTGAACGGGAGGGCTTGGAGAAGGACCCAGACGGGGAATTTCCCATCAGAATTGTTTTCCTCGGACATTTCCTCAATGTTGCGCTTCAGCTCACAGCTTACGATAAACACTGCGATTGTTTATATGCACAGGTTTTATATGTACCATTCTTTCACCAAGTTCAATAAAAATGTAAGTACTGTTTTATTGTCTGTTCTTACTGCAACCAAATTTTAACTAAGCCGATACGCGGGGGGTGGGGGGGATAAGATAAGGTTATTGACTTTACTTTTGGGTTTAGTGTCCAAAGTGAACAGTAAAGGTAAATCTCCTGGTGAACATGTTGCTTCATTTGTGATGACAAGCCTCCAAGACTGTGTCGGGCTCTACCAGGTCGTTTGAGCTGAAAGATAAAAAGAAACATTTCTTAGATACTCAAAGGATTATTAACTCGGTGTTCATTATTTAAATTTTATGTCTAAAATTTCAGTAGTCTCAGATAGCAATGTGCAGTGTAATTTGGGTAAGTTTAGTCATTCTGTTGTACATCTTAATTGTATTTGGACTCATTGTTTCCAATGTTGTGAATAGGGCTTCATTGTAACATTAGTTTGAAATGACCTTTTGAAAGAATTAAATGTTTGCAGTTATAGTTCACTTGCTAACACAATAATTCCTGTTTATCACGCGTTAGCATTAGTTGTCTACTTAAATTTTTGGTGATTCAAACGTCCAGTCTTGCTGCAAACATACCATGTCAGGGGTGGGTGTGGGTGTGTGTGTGTGGGTAATTTTGGAGTAAAACTTACCCTACAATACTAAGGCACTGATTTTGAACATTACCTGTAAATCTTGGCACATTTAGTAAATGGCATTTAGTTGAAATTTTTATTTTAAGTTTTGAAAGATGTGAATTTGGTGTCTGTTCTTTTCAGAGTACCATGCATATTGTGTTGCATATGTTTAAAAAATTGCATATTGTTTAGAAATATTTAACTCTACCTTAATTCTCACTGTATTTTTTGGTCTTTTTTTATCACAGCTATTTTTAGAATGCTATTCTGAAAGGTGTGTATAGAGAAATGGACCATGGAAGACTATATACTATTTGTGGATTGTCATTAGGATCTTTTTGCTAAGAAAAGCCTTTGAAAAGGTCCTTAAAATTTTGTTTTGGATTGGAAAATTGGAAAGAAAAGCTTCATAATTTAGATTGATTCTTATTTTCATCTCTTCTGATCATGTCTGATTTGGTTTATTAGATTGGCATATAGGTTTGTCTTGAACAGTATGTATTTGTACCCGTTTGGTCTCTTGCATCCTTTGTTTCTTCTACTTTTTCTCTTTTAAATTTGTGTGATTCTTGATCTGTTTCCATTTTCCTAGTATTTCTTGTGCACAGAACTTAGGTCAATGATGGTGTTATGGAAGAGAGAGGAAGTCTTTGGTAATAACATTTACATTGAGAGAATTAAATTTATATTTAAATTGTCTGCAATGACAGTAGTGAACTAATGAATACTAATATAACTATGGCTTTCCTTAAGTAGCCCTGGAAAATGCTTGTAGAAATCACAAGGCAAAATAGTTTGAAAAATCTTTATGTGGCTACAGATGTCCCATTTGCTGAATCAGGCTTACTTTTCTACATCCAGTAAATTATCTCTCTACAAGACTACACTTATCATTTTGAATCCTCTCTCTTTCATAATTTGTCCCTGTAACATGGTTGGTGTGCTTTAAAACAACCATCTTGCTTACAGCTAAAATTCACAGCTTTAACTTGAAGTTGACTGGTGAACTCCAGGTCACTTGCGTTCTAACTTTCACTATTTTATTTAAACGCCATCGTTCAATAAGAAAAGCTAGAATATTAACTTCTATTACCCTATTTATGTCTTTATATGTGTATGGAGGTGAACTTTAGAATTTTGCATTGACTTGTAATTAGCAGGATAATTGAAATCTGGTGTTAATTTCTATTTTGAAAAGTAATTTTTCACCGTTCATATGTAATTGTTGTCTTTTTACCTTTACTATTAAATCAAAAGTGGTTTTAATATCTGTGTACGTACACTTACATCAATTGCACAGCCTCACTCTCTTATTTTTTTTTCCCTATTCTTTTAGGGTGAAGGGGGTGGTCTCAAATTGAATGTGAGTCACTTTTAAATTCATAATCCCCCGCATCATTGGGAGAAAAATTTTTTTAGGGTTATAATAGAATGGTTTAAGTAGAGTAAACTTAAAAAAAGCATGAGTCCTCACAAAGTAAACTGAACACCAGTCAATAAATTAAGCCCTTACAGGCTTAAATTTTAAGATGCTGGATATAAGCTTATTTGATTTTATAATCAATATTATGCATTAATTATATTTTTACTGTTTTGTGGCTTCATTTTCCCACATTGACAAATTTAAAATGTAAAAATCCTATAAAATTCAAGTGCTGTTGTATTGAAGAATAAAATTAGTTTAAACATGTTTGTGATCCAGAAACTGATTTATCATTGAATTCTATTGTCATTTTGCCTTGTAGAGTTGGATCACTATCAGCAGTAAATTACTTTTATGTGTAACCTGGGTAGATAAATCTACCCTTTGCTCACTGGACACAGTGAGGTTTATGTAATTGGGGTTAGTAATTAAAGAATGTCTTTGCTGGATCAAGCTCAAGATAAATCTAGTAAAGCATGAAAGCCCTGGCACCAACTGTGCCTTCAAGGTGTATACTATAGCAGAGCATCCTCCCCTAGGTCAGTCTTAAGAGTAGATGTTGACCTAGCTTCTCTTAGAAACCTTGCTCATTAATTTGGTTAGACAAGTTTATGATGCATTTGTTTCTAACATTCCAAGTCTAATGAGTTCTCTTAAGATGAGGTTGTAGTAAAAAGCACGCTCTTCTGAGTATTTTTTTGGCGACAGTCTGTTGTCATAGCACTCACCCTCTACTTTCCTTAGTTCCTTTGCCTTTTTTGAGCTGCAACAATCAAAACTGTACATAATATGCCAAATTTAGGTGAACTGTAATTCTCTTTAAGGTTCCAAGAGTACATGGTTGGTTAAGGACAGTATTCAAGGCTTGTGATTTTAAGGAATGACATAAGAATGAATGCATCATTTATCTCATGTCTGAGTTTGATTTTATACATCTAAGTTTGTTTGGTTGGTCAGCTTCTGCACATAAGCAAATTTGTATTTGCTTATGCTAAAATTTGATTACCACTTTTTGCTTACAATATATATAATCTTTCTCAATTGAATTGGCTCTTGACTAGTAGATAGCATTTGAAAATTGGAGGTTCTCTTATCTATCAAGAAAAATGCTCACTATCCTTGTTCTTTGTCTGATAACATTCTCCCATAATTTTTAATAACAGTCCTTACAGTAGAAATTTATGATTTTTTTAAAGTTAATGTTAACCAGTTTATACCATTGCCGTTTGTGAAAGAAAACATTTGGGGGAAGTTGATTGCCTAAAGAGCCTTACTTAAATTTTTATTGTGAAAGCCCTAATTTTTCTCAAAGATAAGAACGTAGATAAAGTTAAATATAAAAACGCCTCCCTAACACACACACTCTCTAAAACTAGAAAGTAAGCAATGTAAAGGGTGGGGTTTTTTTTGTTTGTTTTCTTTCTTTTAGCTTTGCTTACTGTTGTATTACCAGTACCTCTCATAGAACAGATATTCAGCAACTATTTGTCAATAGAATGGATCTAATCTTTTTTCTTAAATCCTCATCCAAGAATATTTTTCCATTGATTTTTTTAGAGAGTGGAACAGAGAGACCGATGCTCTGTCCCAAACTGGCTAGGGTGAATGGGTCTAATCTTGTTGCCCACAGCTTTATTAATGAATCCTTACACATTTTCCTCTCTATATATATCCTCCCCACAGACACACATGTTTTCTTTTATTACTGAAAATTAATGTCGGCATGTGGTAAATGAAATCGGTACAAAAAGAGAGATTATAAACCTTTCAATCCCAGTGTCTAGGCCCTCTGCCCTCCAGCATTGGCTGTTACAGTATGTGTGTGCCCTTTCAGAAATACATTTTGTTTGTGCAGGCATATATGTATATTTATTTTTCAGCACAGAAAAAGGTCCCTCCCATACCCCAGTTCTTAGAACCAGCACACAGCCTCATATAGAATTGGATTCATCCTAGTTGGGGTTAGGTGTGGCTATTTCTGGGGAAGTAATTTTTAAGATGGCACCAGAAGGGGTAGTATCGATTGACCCAGTGGATCTAAACTGGTAGTGGTTTAGCCAACCAAAGGACATTTGACAATGTTTAGAGACGTATTTTTGTTTTCACAATAGGTGAAAGGGGTACTATTGGCAAAAGTTACCTGGTCCAAAATGTCAGTAGTAGTGAGGTTGAAAAACCCCCCATTAACCAGTCCTAAAGAGTTAAGTTGAGTGAAGGAGACTGAAACTCTGTTATTTTCACTAAATTAATTTTGAGTGTTTGGTGATTGCATCTGTTCAGTAAGAAATTGCCTATTCATCTGTAATTCCTCAAGGACCTTAAGAACAAAGATCACATTTGTAATTTTTTTAATTGAGGGTTTTAGGGAAACTTTAATAAAATTTAAATTTAGTTTGTTAATAAATGTTGCCTTTCTGTGAAATACTGTTCTTAGCCTCTTGTTTGAGTTTGTTATGAATTTGACAATTACTTAAAAAATTTATTTTTTCTAATTTGTCTTCTAATATTGTTGTTCTAATTTTAATTATGTTCTAATTTTGTTAAATCTACCTGCCTTTTGCTTTATTTTATTACCTTTATACTTATCTGGAGATAAGTGTTCCCCATATTTATTTACTGATATGGAAACAGTTCTTGGGTTTTTATTGTGGGTTTTTTTTTCCTTCTTAGGTTTATGTTGGAATGTGGTTCCTACATGTTTGTTTGAAGTTGATGTACTCTTTTTTATTACATGTGTTTTTGTTGCTTTTTTTGGGGTGGGAGAGGGAGATAGAAACATCGATGGTTATCTATCAGCTGCCTCCTGTATACCTCCTACTGGGGATCAAGCCCACAACCTGGGCCTGTGCCCTGACCAGGAATTGAACCAGTGACCTCTTGGTTCATGGGTTGAAGCTCAACCACTGCGTCACACAGGCCAAGCAATATATGCTTTCTTAATTCAGATAAGGAAGATAATCATAAAAGCTAAATACTTTATCAAAATTCACACACCAACAGAGTGACAAAAGCAAAAATCACAGCCAGATCTAGACTCCACAGTTGATGCAGTTATCACTGTGTCTCCCTCAAGAATCTATTTCTAGAAAGCAATATGTATAAAGCTTTTGTGATTCACCAACTACCTGCATCAAAATTGTCAGGATGTTCATTAAAAATATGCTTTACTGACCTGGCTAGAGTGGCTCACTTGGTTTGTGCTTGTCCTGTGCACTGAAAGGTTGCCAGTTTGATTTCTGGTCAGGGCACATTTGTGAGTTGCAGGTTTGATCCCCGATTGGGGCACGTATGAAGGGTAGCTGATCGATGCTTCTCTCTCTCTCTCTCAGTGACCTCTAGTGAGGATTAAAGAATAATAATAACATAAGATAAACTGTGTAATCAGAATATTTGTGGTGGGACTTGGGATTCTTTAACAAACTTCCCAGGTGATACTGATGGCTGCTCAACTTGAAGACCTGTTTAAATCTTGCTTTTTTCCCCTGTGTGTCTCATAATCCATTGTTACTGTTCTGGGTTTGTGAAATCTGAGTGGGTGTTTCTATTATAGCTCACTCGTACTCTGCCTTTTAATTTAATAAAAGCAGATTAGTCCAAGAATAGTCTTACATTAAAACTAGAGGCCTGGTGCACGGGTTTGTGCACAGGTGGGGTCCCTCAGCCTGGCCTGCGCCCTCTCGCAATCTAGGACCCCTTGGGGGATGTTGGACTGCCCCCCCAACCCCCGCCCAAGGGATATAGCAGTGCTGAAGTGGCATGCGGCTGGGGATAAGCCCCTGTTGGGGCTGGACACAGCTCCACAGCTGCTCATCCCGCCCCGGCTGCGCCTTCCACCATCTGGTAGCACTGCTGCTGCGGCGGCCGGGAGAGGCTTCTGCCACAGCTGTGTTTGCCAGCCATAAGCCCAGCTTTTGGCTGAGTGGCTCTCCCCCTGTGGGAGCGCACTGACCACCAGGGGGCAGCTCCTGCATTGAGCATCTGCCCCCTGGTGGTCAGTGCACATCATAGCTACCAGTCGTTCGGTCCTACCGGTTACTGAGGCGCATCCTATCTAATAAAAGAGAAACATGGTAATTGGCGTACGACCGATAACCTTCCTATTGGCTAATCAGGGTGATATGCAAATTAACTGCCAGCCAAGGTGGCGGCCGGCAGCCAGGCAGCTTAAACTGAACATGAGGCTTGCTTGCTTCAGTGACAGAGGACTGCAACGTTCCCCGCCTGCCTTGCAGGCCTCTGAGCCTGCAGTTTGAACATTGTAACAAATATAAAAGCTAAAAGAAACCCCAGAAAAAAGCTTCCAGGAAGCTGGGATCTCA